TCCTCTCCCTTTCTCCCTCTCCCTCTCCTCTCCCTTCCCTCTCTTCTCCCTCTCCCTCTTCCCCCCCCCTCTCTCTCTCTCTCTCTCTCTCTCTCTCTCTCTCTCTCTCTCTCTCTCTCTCTCTCTCTCTCTCTCTCTCTCTCTCTCTCTCTCTTCTCTCTCTCTCTCTCTCGTTATAAATGAGCTTCAAACCCAATATCCCTCATCTCTCTCTCTCTTTCTTTCTCTCCTTCTCTCTCCTTTTTCTTTCTTTCTCTCTCTCTCTTTCTTTCTTCCCCTTTCTCTGTTTCTGTTCTGTGTTTGTCTGTCTGTCTCTCTCTCTCTCTCTCTCTCTGTTTCTGTCTGTCTGTCTCTCTCTCTCTTTTCCGTTTCTGTCTGTCTGTCTGCCTGTCTCTTGCTTTCTTTTTATCTGTGTCTTCCTTTATCTCTCCCCCACTCCTTTCCTACTCTCAGCACACTCACTCACTCACACACTCTGTGTCTCTTTTCTCTCTGCTTTCTTCCTCCTTCTTTCATACTTGTTTTTTCTTCCTATTCTCTATGATCATTTACTTTTTTTTGTATTTATCCTGTTTATTCTAAACTTCCTTCATTCTTTGGCCTTTATTTCTGCCTTTATCTATTTTTCTTTTTTCCTTTCCCTCTCCGAGCCCGAGGTCCTCCCAGGTGCTCGAGAAATTTGAGTCTGGTCTGTACAGGAAATTGCCTTGATCTCAGGTATGGAGTCTTGAATAGAGTCAGGTATCTGAGGAAAAGGAAGGGCTTGACACTGCGAGGGCGTGGGGTGAGGAGAAGAAACTCTTTGAGGTTTATTTTCAGCGAAAAAAAAAAACGTTTACCTGGGTTTTCTTGCCTTTAGGTCGGGCTGCTCGAAGCATTCTGAGAATCGGTGTGGCGAGATGGTTCCATTTCTTGGTTGAGTTAAATGTTTAGATTCTTGTCTCTATCCTGTGTGTTTGTGTTTCTTAAACAGGCAAGAAAACATTATCTATAGGACTTCATCGTGAGCTTTGTACAAGGTGGAGCGTCTTCGTAACTTGATCCCAGAAGATGGAATCTACTCCGGAGAAAAAATGATTTCCCAGTAACGAATTTTCCCCAGGACAGGAATCATAGCCGATATTTATTTATTCATTGTTATCTATTATCATTTTGTTCAAACACCACCATGTTCGACTACATCCTGCTACATTCCTTCATCTGCTGTTTGACTACATCCTTCTACATTCCTTCATCTGCTGTTTGACTACATCCTTCTACATTCCTTCATTGACTACATCCTTCTACATCTGCTGTTTGACATCTTCTACATTCCTTCACACACACCCTGTTACAGGAGCGGTGAAGAACGACCTGCGGTGTTACCAGTGCAACGTGAGTGACAACATGGCCTGCACAGAAGAGTACCTCATGCAGTGTCCGGACAAACAGGCGTACGACAGGTGCGAGACGAGGGTCAGGAAGGCAGGTGAGATTTCTTTCTTTCAGCTTCAGTCAGGAAAGCATATAAGATTTATTTAAGTTTCAGTCCAGGTGAGAAGTCAGAGGAAGCAGGTAAGATTTTTTAAGTTTCAGTCAGGAAGGCAGGTGAGATTTTTTCTTTCTTCAGTCAGGAAGGCAGGTGAGATTTTTTTTTCTTCAGCTTCAGTCAGGAAGGCAGGTGAGATTTCTTTCTTTCAGCTTCAGTCAGGAAGGCAGGTGAGATTTCTTTCAGTTTCAGTCAGGAAGGCAGGTGAGATTTCTTTCTTTCAGCTTCAGTCAGAGCAGGTGAGATTTCTTTTCTTTCAGTCAGGTGTGAGATTCTTTCTTTCATTCAGTCAGGTGATTTCTTTCTTCAGTCAGGAAGCAGGTGAGATTTTTTTTCTTTCAGCTTCAGTCAGGAAGGCAGGTGAGATTTCTTTTCTTTTTCAGTCAGGGCAGGTGAGATTTCTTTCTTTCTCAGTCAGGTGAGATTTTTTTTTCTTTCAGTCAGTCAGGAAGGCAGGTGAGATTTCTTTCTTTCAGTTTCAGTCAGGAAGGCAGGTGAGATTTTTTTTCTTTCAGTTCAGTCAGGAAGGCAGGTGAGATTTCTTTCTTTCAGCTTCAGTCAGGAAGGCAGGTGAGATTTCTTTCTTTCAGCTTCAGTCAGGAAGGCAGGTGAGAGCTTCAGTCGGAAGGCAGGTGAGATTTCTTTCAGCTTCAGTCAGGAAGGCAGGTGAGATTTCTTTCTTTCGGCTTCAGTCAGGAAGGCAGGTGAGATTTCTTTCTTTCAGCTTCAGTCAGGAAGGCAGGTGAGATTTCTTTTCTTTCAGTGCAGGTGAGATTTCTTTCTTTCAGCTTCAGTCAGAAGGCAGGTGAGATTTCTTTCAGCTTCAGTCAGGAAGGCAGGTGAGATTTCTTTCTTTCAGTTCAGTCAGGAAGGCAGGTGAGATTTCTTTCTTTCAGTTTCAGTCAGGAAGGCAGGTGAGATTTCTTTTTTCTTTCAGATTCAGTCAGGCTTCAGTCAGGAAGGCAGGTGAGATTTCTTTCTTTCAGCTTCAGTCAGGAAGGCAGGTGAGATTTCTTTCTTTCAGCTTCAGTCAGGAAGGCAGGTGAGATTTCTTTCTTTCAGTTCAGTCAGGAAGGCAGGTGAGATTTCTTTCTTTCAGTTCAGTCAGGAAGGCAGGTGAGATTTCTTTCTTTCTTTCAGTTTCAGTCAGGAAGGCAGGTGAGATTTCTTTCTTTCAGCTTCAGTCAGGAAGGCAGGTGAGATTTTTCTTTCAGTTCAGTCAGGAAGGCAGGTGAGATTTCTTTCTTTCAGCTTCAGTCAGGAAGGCAGGTGAGATTTCTTTCCTTTCAGTCAGGAAGGCAGGTGAGATTTCTTTCAGCTTCAGTCAGGAAGGAGGTGAGATTTCTTTCTTTCAGCTTCAGTCAGGAAGGCAGGTGAGATTTCTTTCTTTCAGCTTCAGTCAGGAAGGCAGGTGGAAGTCGCAGGTGAGATTTCTTTCTTTCAGCTTCAGTCAGGAAGGCAGGTGAGATTTCTTTCTTTCAGTCTCTTTCTTTCAGGAAGGCAGGTGAGATTTCTTTCTTTTAGCTTCAGTCAGAAGGCAGGTGAGATTTCTTTCTTTCAGCTTCAGTCAGGAAGGCAGTGAGATTTCTTCGGCTTCAGTCAGGAAGGCATTTTCTTTCAGTTTCAGTCAGGAAGGCAGGTGAGATTTCTTTCTTTCAGCTTCAGTCAGGAAGGCAGGTGAGATTTCTTTTTCTTCAGTCAGGAAGGCAGGTGAGATTTCTTTCTTTTTTCAGTCAGGAAGGCAGGTGAGATTTCTTTCTTTCGCTTTCAGTCAGGAAGGCAGGTTTCTTTCTTTCAGCTTCAGTCAGGAAGCAGGTGAGATTTCTTTCAGCTTCAGTCAGGAAGGCAGGTGAGATTTCTTTCTTTCAGCTTCAGTCAGGAAGGCAGGTGAGATTTCTTTCTTTCAGTTTCAGTCAGGAAGGCAGGTGAGATTTCTTTCTTTCAGCTTCAGTCAGGAAGGCAGGAGATTTCTTTCAGCTTCAGTCAGGAAGGCAGGTGAGATTTCTTTCTTTCAGCTTCAGTCAGGAAGGCAGGTGAGATTTCTTTCTTTCGGCTTCAGTCAGGAAGGCTTTCTTTCAGTTCAGTCAGGAAGGCAGGTGAGATTTCTTTCTTTCAGCTTCAGTCAGGAAGGCAGGTGAGATTTCTTTCTTTCAGCTTCAGTCAGGAAGGCAGTGAGATTTCTTTCTTTCAGCTTCAGTCAGGAAGGCAGGTGAGATTTCTTTCTTTCAGCTTCAGTCAGGAAGGCAGGTGAGATTTCTTTCTTTAGCTTCAGTCAGGAAGGCAGGTGAGATTTCTTTCTTTCAGCTTCAGTCAGGAAGGCAGGTGAGATTTCTTTCTTTCTTCAGTCAGGAAGCAGGTGAGAAGTTTCAGTCAGGAAGAGATTTCTTTCAGTTTCAGTCAGGAAGGCAGGTGAGATTTCTTTAAGTTTCAGTCAGGAAGGCAGGTGAGATTTCTTTCAGTTTCAGTCAGGAAGGCAGGTGAGATTTCTTTCTTTCAGCTTCAGTCAGGAAGGCAGGTGAGATTTCTTTCTTTCAGCTTCAGTCAGGAAGGCAGGTGAGATTTCTTTCTTTCAGCTTCAGTCAGGAAGGCAGGTGAGATTTCTTTCTTTCAGCTTCAGTCAGGAAGGCAGGTGAGATTTCTTTCAGCTTCAGTCAGGAAGGCAGGTGAGATTTCTTTCTTTCAGTTTCAGTCAGGAAGGCAGGTGAGATTTCTTTCTTTCAGCTTCAGTCAGGAAGGCAGGTGAGATTTCTTTCTTTCAGCCTCAGCCATACATATATAATGATAAAAGATTAATATAAAGATAAGACGGACAATAATAACGATAATAATAATATGTTCTTTCCTTTCTCCACATGCATAAAATTTGCATGAATACAATGCTACTAAGAACAAATAGTTTCCTAAACAGTGTTATTCCTACTCATCAAAGTACAACATACTTTGTGTAGATTCCTATGCCAAATAAGGGTTATTTTCATCATACTGACCATATCTACTGCGAATAAAACATAGAGTTTGTTATATATACAAAAATAATTGATGGATTAAAGCAGGATATGATCTGGTTTAATGAAACAACATTGTTCTTTTTTTTTTGTAGACGCCAATCCATCTGTTCATCTATCTATCTGTTATTTAACCATCTGTCTATCAGTCAAAATGCTCTTTCTATCTTTCTAGCTTCTATCTGTCTACTTAACTATCTATCTATCAGTCTATCCAGCTAACTAATTATCTGTCTTTCAGTCAATTGGTATCTTCTCTCTATCTGTCTATCGATATTCTCTCTCTCTCTCTCTCTCTCTCTCTCTCTCTCTCTCTCTCTCTCTCTCTCTCTCTCTCTCTCTCTCTCTCTCTCTCTCTCTCTCTCTCTCTCTCTCTCTCTCTCTGTCAATCTATCAAAAATTCAGTCTGCTAATCTATCTATCTATTCATCTCGAACATAGTATATAGTCTCTGTAATTCTACTCCGTCTAACTAAGTCTGTCTCAGTCAAGTCTATCTCATCTGTGTCATTCCTGTCTGTCTTATCTCTTCCTGTCTGTCTCTGTCGGTCTATCTAGTCTGTCCTTCTCTTCTCTTGACTAACTAATGACACCCTCTGTATCTCTCTCTCTCTATCTCTCTCTCTCTCTCTCTCTCTCTCCACCCTGTCTCTCTTCTCTTGACACTAACTAATGACACCCGATTCTGTATCTGTCTGCTCTCTCTCTCTCTCTCCTCTCTCTCTCTCTCTCTCTCTCTCTCTCTCTCTCTCTCTCTCTCTCTCTCTCTCTCTCTCTCTCTCTCTCTCTCTCTCTCTCTCTCCACTCTGTCCTTCTCTTCTCTTGACACTAACTAATGACACCCGATCACCTGCCAGCCTAACCTAACATCAACGTTTCCTTTCCCCCTTCAGCGAATGGCGAAAGATGGATACAGAAAGGATGTGCTTTATCCCCCTGCAATCTCGGCACGTTAGAAGAGCTCTCCTTAGGAATCCACTGCGACTACTCAGCCCCGAATTACGACTGCGTTACGTGTTGCAAGGAAGACGGTTGCAACACGGGTGGCGCCGCTGGTCTTCTGCATCCGGGACACACAATGGCGACACTTCTTTCGGTTGTTTTGACGGCGACTTTAGGTTTTCACTTGTTCGAGTGGGTGTAATGACAGCGGGGTAGTTGTGAATGGTCGTCGAAAAGAAAAAAAAAAAAAATTTGTGTTTTTACGATTAGGAAAGGTATTTTTCACTTGGGGGAGGCGTAGGGGGGGGGGGATTATTAAAACACGCCTATATTTTATTCTTTTCTTTTTTTGGGCAAACTAAGGAAACGGACTGTGGAGATTAGAAAGTAGTAGAAGAAGAAGAAAAAAAAAAAAAAACATACAGACATGAAGTTAGATTTCAGTACCGTATTAAAATGAACTTGATTGTATGAAGAAAGAAAGGAAAGACTTTTGACGTCACAAGGGCGGGATCCTCAGATTTGCCGCCATTTTCAAATCCTAAAATATAATAATTTAGGAAATATGATGTCGATGATAATACGCATACCAATGGTGATAAAAGTATGATAATTATCATAATCTACTGATATTTTATCTCCCTAAATACCTACATCTTGTAAGTACATTATATATATAACTTACATTACCTCTCTTTGTACGGGTTTCCGGTTATCAACTGATCTACAAGTTATCTCAATAATATGGTGTCCTCATGCTTCAAAATAGTATGCATAATCGATTTATCATTGGTGTCTGAATAATAACGTTTCTCATACTTAAAAAAACTTCAAAACTTTGTCACTCCGAAGAAAATAAAATAAATTATTCCACTTTCGAAATTTGTTTACGTTTCTCGCGTTCCTGATTTTGCTTTTGCGTCACAAGGAAGCTAGTCCCTGTTAATGGTTTTAGCTCGTTTGACGGCCTATAGCAAGATAAGTATATATATATAATTATATATCTCTTCGTCTGATATATAATATGTGAGTAATGAGACTGCGTGCGGATCTCGAGACAACCTCTTATGCCTCATCCTAGATACCACTGCATCAACGCTATAGATGATCCCTCAAGTGTACATTAATATTACGAACATACTAGCGATATCTCGAGTGAATTATCTATCACTAACATATATATATAACAGACTGGATGAGCGAACCGAAGACGTCAGCTATCAGCTCCGCGCCTGTTATTAAATGAGTCGCACATACACTCGCATTATAATATGATGTTACTGGTGCGCCCAGTCTTGATAACTCCGTATACCCAGTTCTCGGCCCAATCTAGTGAACGATCCCGCAATAATATGCGCTCTAAACACTATAATCAAACTCGATTCGGATATCTCTCACCAGGTACACCAAAATAATATCCCTCAACCCACCACACCCTTGACGCACTACATGACTGAGGAAGCTCCTCTACTACGCCCCGCCTACCTCAGCCACTCACCACCAACTCCTGACCGTCTTCGTGACCTATATCATTATATATAATACTATACATATATATATATATATACTAATACTTATTATATTATATATTATATATATTTATACTTACTATTTTATACATATTAATATATACAATATTATATTATTATATACTATTATATATTATATATATATAATATATGTGTGTGTGGTGTGCTGTGTGTGTGTGTGTGTGTTGCCGTGTGTGTATGTGCATGTCGTATGTGCATGTGCATGTGTATGGCATGTGGTCATGTGTTGTATGTGGTGTGTGTGTGGTGTGCTGTGTGTGTGTGTTGTGTGTGTCTATATATATATGTGTAAATATGTATATCATATGTATATGTATGTGTATTATATATTACTACATATGATATATATTATTGATAGCTATATATGATATAATAATATATATATATTTAATATATATAATATATATATATTACATATACATATACATACACATACATATATTACACACACACACACACATATATGTGTGTGTGT